ATTGTCAACAGCATGTTTGAAGTAAGTTCCGATCCGTCTCCACACAGTTGACAATGCATAGGAACGAGCGATTGACACTCCCGTCTCTCGTCTGCTGCAGATCATCCTCACCAGCGCACTGAAATGCCGCGAGGATTTGGACGAGTTCTTTCATCTCCATGAGCATCTTACGACCATTCCAGACCCTTGGACGTGTGAGTTCCCGAGTCACAATCCTTGCCGTGTGCTTCCTTTGAGAAAGAACTAACTCTTTGGGTTTTGCTGTTGGCACGCTCACAGCATCCACCAAAGTACGAAATGCCCTCGTCCGGCAATATGAAGTGACCACGGAGGCGATCGGCCGCACGGCGAGCGTCGAGCAGCGTGCCCTCTTTTTGCAGCAGCTCGCCGTGTTGACGGATCTTTTGCTCACGTCCTACTGGGGCGAGCTAGAGTTTCTCGAGTTTCAGTACGTAGCCGTGTTGGTTTTGTCTTTGTGTGTGTGTCTGATTTTCTCCATCGCATTTGGTCAATGCTCACCTTCGATTGCGAGCATTCAGCGGCCCCGAGTACGAAGAGCGTCATGTGGCTGTCTTTAACACCTTTGTCGAATGCCGTCCTCGATTCATTGATCCATTCGGTATGTGTGTTGCTTCAGCTGAGTGCACGCGTGGACGCGGCTTTTGACAAAACAAAAAAACGGTTGTTTCTGACCCCGCTTTCGGCCGTTGGACAGTCAAACACAACGACACTGCGATGGCATTCGCGCTCGCCGAAAAGTACAAACACTTCCAACTTCTCATTCAAATGTGCGAAGACATGGACGCTCCGGCACAGCTGGACACGTACGTTCGGCAGTTTGAACCCGACGGATTTGCTCAAGAACTCTTCCAATGGTACTTGGATCATGGTAAGTGACCGTTGACATATCCGAGAGCAGGATTGCGCGGAGAACAAGAAACTCATCGTTGCGGTTTCCCCCCTTTTGACTGCTTTCCCAGGCAAAGCCGCCAAGTTGCTGAAATCGCCGCGCTCTCGTGATGCTGCTTTGGGCGAGTTTTTGAAAACGCATCCAGAACTCTCTTGGCTGCATGACATCCGGACGGACAATTATGCTCAAGCTGCCATGACCCTTCGCGATCTTGCCAAGAACGAGACGGCGTTGTTTCAAAAGCGCAAGGTACAAAACAAACAAAAACCTTTGCGGCCTGTGAATGCGCCAGATTGTTCTGACGTGATTGTATTTCATGGCATGCTAGACTCTGCTCAGCCTCTGGAAGATGGCACTTGCCTGCGCCGATGAATCAAACCCCGAAGACAGCGAAGGTAAATGTTTGTTTTTGTTTGTTTTGTTGTTTGTTGGCAACGCGTCTGCTGCCCTCTCCTTTACACCACATTCAATCTTACCTGACGAATTGCCTTGTTGCTCAGACGTCTGGCAATTCATGTGGTTTATGCAAGTTCAAGAATTGCTCGTGAGCGACGCAAAGTACGCTCCGCTGGTCGCCGGCTTTGGAAACAATGGCGTCAACCTTGAGACGGACTATCTCGAGCCCTTGCGTCTGATTGACGCATTTATCGGCCAGTACAACCCAATTCCTGATGCCATCGACCTGGCATTGGCGATGGAAACGTACGCACGGTCGATGCCGGTGAGTCCAGAGGCACTCGCGTCGTTGATCCCCAGACTTTGTCGGCTTCTCTGATTGCTGACTTGATTGTTGTTTTTGCGTGGGTTTTCGTGACTGGCCAGAGTCGCTCTGATGAGGAGAATACTTCATTGCTTCTTGACATTTGCGTGCGATCGATCTTGAAAAACGAGTACGTCTGCCTCTCTTGTTGGTCTCTTGCACGATTCTCATTTTGTTCGCTCACGTGTCTTTTGATGATTTCTCTTGGTTGTTTGGTAGCTGGAGTGCTGTGATCAACGCATCCAAGCAAAGTCCAACCGATGCCGAGCTGCTCCAAATCTTGAACGCAACTGCGTTCTTCTCTTTGGCGTCCTTGTTTGACTCCCAAGAGCTGCTGTATTGTAAGTTTTGAATCGATTGTCAGTTGGGTCGGTGCTTGTACTCAAATTCACTGTATTTTGGTTGCAACACAGCGATGAACATTACTCTGCCTGATATTGTGCTGCTGGCCAACGACTCGCGGCTGGGTATCCTGCGCGGCAACACTGAGCTTATTCGCTTGTTGCAGACGACCGCCGGAATGACATCTCGCTCAATGTGAATATCTGGTTGAATCTCGTTTTGTTGCGTGACAATCCCATTGTTATTTTTTGTTTCTTTCATTTCACGAAATTGAACTCTTGGTGTTCGCTTTTTGACTGAATTCGGCACTCGTGAAAGGTCGAGAATTGGTACAGACGCTGTTTATTGAGTCGATGTGGACAAAAGGGATACAAGCTTGCGCCCTTCATTGGGTGGGCTTGCTAAAGTAAAGCACCAATGTCACGAACTGGCTGATTCACAGACAAGTTGGTAAAGTAGGAGCTCAGAGCGGCAAATCTGGGACGAGCTTGCGGATTCATCTCCCAGCACGCCTGTACCATCGCAAACAGATTGAGGGGGCAGTTTTCAGGCCTTTCGAGACGCGATCCAGCTTCCACAACAGCAAGGATTTCGCGACCTGCCATCGATCCGTACGGCGAGGCTCCGTACGAGAATGTTTCCCCTGCGTTTGGATGCAGTAAGTGAAATCTGCACATCCACAAGCTTGCATGCAGGTTGACTTACAGGCCAGCACGCCAAAAGACCAGACATCGCTTTGATGCGTGAACGTGCGATAGTTGAGGCACTCGGGAGCCATCCACTGCAAAAATCACATCACCCATCGCAGTGTGAATGATGGGGTGTGCAGCATTCAAATTACTGGCGCGATGTTTGCACACAAGTTTCCATCCACTTTACCTTCACGGGCAAACGGCCTTTATGCTCCATGCGGTAGTAGTCCGTGTCCTGAGCCAACAGTCGGCTCAAACCGAAATCGGAAATCTTGACAGACAAGCCGTGTCCCACAAGACAGTTGCGAGCCGCGATATCGCGATGCACAAAGCGAATCGACTCGAGGTAGTTCAACCCCGAAGCAACTTGTGCGAGGGTGTAGGCAAACTCGCTTTCGGTCCACAGGATGTTCGACTTCTTTGACTTTTTCAGCACGTCGCGCAAGTCGCCGTACGGCAGCAATTCAAGGACACAGAGATGCGGCTCTGCTTCCAGCAACGTGGCAATTGCTCGAACCACGTTTGGATGGTTGAATTGCGAAACCATGCGCGCTTCCTCGATAAACTCGTTGTGGGACTGCTCAGAGGCATTCGCCTGGATGGTTTTGACAGCTACTTCCAGGACAGGCTGCATGGGGTCGTGAAGCAGGTACTGTGCGTCGGTTGGCACCAACGCGCGCGGCAAGCGTCCTCGAAGCACAACGCCAAATGCGCCAGAACCCAGTGTCTCGCCCAGAACCAGTCCGTCTCGGAGAGATTGGGTGACCTCAGCCGCCGACATGTAGATTCGCGGCGAGACAGCATAGTCGTACACCCGTCATCAGCACGGGGCGAATGAGCGAGGGGTGAACTGACAGAAGCGTAAGCACTGTCGACTGCAGAAGCGGACGCGTAAAGCGGCTGACTTGCCGCCCCCACCGGCGAATATAGCGGGTCTGGAGTCGATGCAGTGGCGTAGTATGAGGGATTATCGGATGACTTGATGGTGTTGGACTGCATTGGAATTTGGTCTGCTTTGCTCGAGTTGTTTCTGGATGGTTGGCGGCGTCGACGATAGAGCACAACCACGCAAATCAGCCCCAGAAGGGCAACCACGCCAACGATCGCGCCAACGATGGCCGGAAGGGTGGAAGGCGACGGGTCACCTTCAGGATGGAAGCTAGAAACGAAAGCAGTCGAGGCAGACGAAGAAGTTTGGGAGTTGGACACGGAGCTTGCAGCGGATGCAATGGACGGTGTGTACGATGCGAAGGCAAACGAAGAAGATTCCAGGAAAACGCCCGAGGTAGCCGCGGTCGGACTCGTTGCCACATCAGAAGCAGAAGATGCGATCGAAGCGATTGAAGCGACAGAAACAGCGGAGTCACTTGCCTCGTTGGCTGGCCATGACGCGATCGAAGCCAAGCTGGTTGCAGCGTTAGATGCAGAAGATGCCACCGATGCCAGGCTCGTGGAAGCGGCGGACGCAGCCAAAGCCAGACTGGTGGAAGCGACTTGAGCGGCAGAAGATGCAGCCGAGGCTAGACTGGTGGCAGCGTTGGATGCAGAAGATGCACCCGAAGCCAAGCTCGTGGAAGCGGCGGTTGCAGCCAAAGCCAGACTGGTCGAGGCGGCTCTCGCGGCAGAAGAAGCGACTGATGCGACGCTGGTTGAAGCTTTCGAAGCCGCAGTTGCAGCCAAAGCAAACGAAGCCAGGCTGGTGGAAGCGGCACTTGCAGCCGAAGCAGATTCGCGTGCAGCACATCCAGGACTGCCGAAATTTGATCCTTCTGTCGACGCCACAGGGGTCGTAGCAAGAACCCACGAGTTTGGCAAAGCCGGGTCCAAAGTAGGATGCCGAAGCTGGAACGCTTTGCCATTGGTGTCGGCACTAGCGGGCCATGCTCCGCTTGTTGCATACGTGATAGAAGTACAGACCTCGTAGTTAGCATCGCCTGGCTGCCCGATGGAAATATTGACGGTCATGCTCGTATTAAGCAACGAAAAGCCAAGGTAATCAACAAATGTGACGCCATAAATGTTGAAGCCTGCCGAATTTCCCCCAAACGAAGCACAGCCACCAGGAGACAGCACGACGGGGTTGAGGATTGGCTGATTGTTAAAATACATGCCAGTCATGCTGATCGAGGAGCTTCCCTTGTTCATCACCTTGATGTATTCACCTGATGGTCAAGAAACACAGAAAGATGAATGAGCAACTCAGCATGCATCCAACAGAATGTAAGACGCGAGCGTTACCGGGAGCCTCGAAGGAATCAGTCATGTCAGGGTTGTACATGAACTCGGTAATCACAATCGTAGAGCACGCAGATTCTGACATAATTCAACACACGCACGCGGTGAGACGATCGACGAGGCAAGCGCTCGCAGAACCGAAAAAAGTCTACGACTCACGTTGAACGTAGGGGCATTGGTAGGGCTCTCCATATCCAGTGCTGCCTGCAGACCACCCATCAGTCCAATCATCCGATCCAGGCCATGTCACAGAGCCGGTTCGCCACAGACTGGGAGTATCTCCTGTTTGTCGATAGTCCTTCAGAATGTAGGACGCGTAAGCAGATCGCGAGGGCCATGTAGACGAAACAAACGAGACGGCTTGCCCAATCACTTCCGCCGGTGTGATTGTGGCTGATAAGCGGACCATGTCGCTCGAGGAAGCCCACCAGACGGAGTTAAATGAAGCGATGCCGGTAATGTTACCATTGGTGGTCGTGCTAGAGGACCCCGACAACAAGGAGCACGACATTGGCGGAAGTACAGCAGCAGCCGTGAATGAATTAACCAAAGAGCCTTTATCGCGCAAATTAACGTTCGCCAGATTGAGCGATACGGTGGCGCTGTTGAATAATTTGACGTAAGATCGTGCTCGAATATCCGTGGAAGTAACGGGCGCGAATTCTGTGATGATGGCCGCGCGGGTTGCGGCCAAAGTGAACTGCTGACACACGCCTGGCGAGCCTTTGTTGGTCAGAGAGCCGGTCCAAGTGGACGGCGAGAGTGCCCAGTTGGAACCTGTCGGTGCGAGGCTGTAGTCTCCAATGATGTACGAGGTGCCTTGGGTTGACGTTGGCTATGTACTCGCCCCAGTCCCAAAAGAGACCGAGGTGCACGTGGTTGAGTCTAGGGATATTTGGATTGTCTCAGTGGTTGTCGATGCCAGGGAGAACGTCGACCAAACGTAGTCCAACTTGACGTTGCCATTGGAACTGCCATTGTTGGATCCGAGCAAGGCGCACCCGAGTGGAGGGATGATTACGTCCGACGACATAATTTCAGACGTGCCACCAGAGACATGCCCCAATGTCAGACCGTTCAGTGCGATCGCATGCAGTCGATTTGAATTGAACAGTTGAATGAACTGGGTAGCAGTGCTTGCTGGTTGGTTGAGAATCTCGACAATCCGCAGGTCGGTGCAATCTGTCCAAATAAAAACAAACCCAGAAAATGCAAAAAAAAAAAACAAAAAAAAAAAAAAAACACACATTTTCAATTCAAACACCAGACAAAATAATAAGAAATCACGAAATTTCAGAGATTGATCGAGCGCGAGGCAAAGCGTGCATCAGCAAGCGCAAGCCCAGAGCAGAGAGTATAGAGAGGCACAAACATCGGAGGAGCAGAGTGAGGGGAGTGGAGAGGGAGACGGGCGCCGTCGGGTAAACTCGCCTGCATTAGACTGGGTGATCAACAGCGCCAGGATGACCGCCGTCGCGAGCGTAACAACGGCCATGGGAGTCGCAGAGTCGCACGAAATCAAGTGGATGAAGGCAAATGGCGAGGCGGCGAAGCGGCGCAGGTTTGCAGGAAGCTGGATTGCCAGCAACGATCAGTGAAAAAAAAAAAAAAAATCAGATGAAAAACAACAAAACCAGAAAAAAAAAAAAGAAAAAAAAAAGAAAACTGAAGCCGCCAACTGATTTTTGGAAATCGGGTCGCACGAGCAAAACGAGTACTGTATGGGTCGCAAAAGTTTAAAACGCTGCTGGCATAACAATACTCGGATGGCGGGGGCTGACGAGCCGAACCCCCGCAAAAAAAAAAACAAACAAAAAAATATGCGTCTTGAGCAACAAAGCATCGGCAGCCACCCTGCACCGATGCCCACCCATCCTCGTCCCTTGCATTGTAAGG